AAGTGAAATTTCTTTTTTATCCCTTATCTGAAACTGCTTATTAAATCATACTGCTGTTAAGAGGTGACACAAAGTTGACACGTTCAACACTTTTGTGGCGTTGTTTTTTTTTAACCTTCAAAGAATCATTAAGTAGTTCTTCATTTTGTAGTCTTCATTGTGTTTTATCTAGTTGGGTTAAGTATTTGACACAAATTAGTGTTGTCAAATCCTATGCTCCATTTATTTAAAATTTAAGTATAGTGCTGTTTCACTTCTTTATTCCCTTGCTAATTGTGTCATCATGTGGGTCCTCAACTTGATATATATGTATATAGATAGATAGATAGATAGATAGATAGATAGATAGATAGATAGATATGATTTGCCATTTCATTTTTATTTGGTGAAAATCTTTTTCATTATAGCAACTAGAAAATAAGAAGGGAACATAGAATGGGAAATATTAGTGAAAAGCAAACAGATCCTAACTAAGCAATTTGAAAGGCTGCTACCTGACAGCAATTTCTAACCCGAAAATACATTTTTTTTCCCTTAAATCATACTATGTTCCCATATTTTCCACAATACAAAATACTTTGAATATCTAAGCCTTCCATGTCTGAACACTAGATATAATCTCTAAATTAATATGTATTTAATCATTTTCTGACTGTGTTATTTTTCTGTGACTTTTCATTACCAATTTGATCAATTTCCCTCTTACTGTGACCTCCAAAGATTTTCTAGTCTTTTTCAAACTAGTTTTTTTGACACTATCATCTAGTAGACAATCTTGCTCAGCAGCTGTATGGTATTATATTTTTTTTTCTATTGCGTGTTACATATTCATTTTTTATCAACTTTTGTATTTACACAATAACACAACTTCCAAAGAGCTTGCCTTTCTACATAAAAACTTATGCCAGTTTTTCTTCATTGACACTTATTTTTTTTGTCTTAAGTTTCAACAGTTTTTTATTCTATTTATGTAACACTAATGATTGATCCTTTTTTTTAACTTATCATCATTACAAAATGAATGTAGAGTTCCTTTAAATCTATTAATATTGTATTACTTTCTATCCTCTATAGAGACCTAGAATGTATTTTTGTTGTTGATAGTTTGGAGTTATACTTGGCAATGCTCAGGGCTTATTCCTGGCTTTGCTGTCAGGGATCACTCCTGAAGGCTCAAGAGATCATACGGGGTTCTAGGGATCAAACTTGGGTCTGCCACATGCAAGGAAAGGACTCTACCCACTGCACTACCTCTCTGGCCCCCTGGAATTTTATTCTTTATATAGTAGGCAATTCATTTTTGTTTCAAGCTAGAAGGATGACAAGTTTAAAGTATTTTCATATAATTTTTGCTTCACATAGCTTATATTTTAATTAACCATTATTATGGCTGCTTGTGTATTTGCTATACGAATTGGTCTTTGTGATGCCTCTGTGTATCACTTGTGTCTGGGGCAAGTTTTTTTAGTAATTTTTCTTTAAATTATTTAGCACTCAGAATATTATTTGTGGACCCAGATAAATAGTACTAGAGACAAGGTGCTTGTCTTGTACACAGATAACCTGGGTTCTATACCTATACTTATATGGATCCTGAGCACTTCCAGGAGTGATCCCTATGCACACAGCCAGGACTTAGCGCTAAGTATTGCCACATGTACTACCCCTTCAGCACCCCCCACAAAAAAAAAACCATTTGTGGTCTCAAAGGACTGGAATGCATGCTTTGTGTTCCAGAAATTAAGTCCTGTTTTCTAGCAGATTACTGCCAGGAGTGAGTCCTAAGGAAAAAGGTAGATGTAATGCCTGAATACAATTTGCAGTGGCACAAAAAGAGAGTCAAAAATACACCCAGAAAGTACTTATGCCCATCTGTTTGTATCTTAGTGTAGTATGAGCAGGATTGCTTTTTTTTTTTTCTGTTTCCACTTAGTTTGACAGTTTAATAATTCCAACTTTGAGTGTTTAAATTTTTCTTTATATACTCATATCTTAGAAACGGAATGCAACTATTGCTCTAGCAGAAGAACAATTGATTTGGGTGAAAAACTTAATTTTATCATTGATCTCTTTATCTTTGATAGAATTTTGAATGAATTTTATTCTAGTAGAATAGTCTCATGTATTGCTATTTATAAAGACTAATGTAAAAATCAATGTGCATCTTGATTCCTGTTGTTGTGCAGAAGCCTTTGGTTCGATGCAGTTTCATTTATTTTTGCTTTTAATTCTCTTTTCATTGGAATCAGATAGCCAAAAACTTCTCTGAGCCAAAATCACAGTGTACCTTGCCAATGTTTTCTTCCAAGTATTTTATGGTGGGGTATCTTCCATCCAAAAATCTTTCATCTATTTCGCATTAAATTTTTGTAGAGTGCGAGGTAATGATCCAGTTTCCTTCTTTTTTATAGGAATCTAAATTGGGATTGCTTAATATTTTGCTTTTCTAGTTATTGTGTATGTTTAGAAATAGTTTGGTTTTGATTTTTTGCATATTGATTTTTTTGGCCTGTTGCTCTATCAGTTTTTTGAGTGGAGTCTTTAGGATTTATCTATGTGTACTTTTATACTATCTGCAAATGATAGTGTTATTTATTGAACCTGAATCTTTTTTATTTTATTTTGTTGCCTGATTGCTGATGTTGAATAGTAGTAGTAAAATAGATATCCTTGTTTTGTGCAGAATTTTAGAAAAAATATTTCACTTTTCACCACTTACTATAATAATAGTTGTAAGATTTGTCATACAGGTATTTAGTATATTGAAGTATGTTCCTTTAATGCACATTTTATTTATCTGTTTAATTATAAACAGATATAATATCTTATCTGAATCTAACTTTATGTCTGTTGATATGAGCAAATTGCGGGGGAGGTGAGGAATGTACTTCACCTCTCAGTGTTCAGGGCTTACTCTTAGCTTTGTGCTCAGGAATGAAGTAGAGTATGATGCTAAAGTATGATGAATCATGTGGGATGCTGCGGATTGAATCTGGTGTTGGCTGCATAGAAAGCAAGTGTCTTTATGGCTGGACTATCTCTCCATGGGCTAGAGGAGATGATTTTTAGGTATCTTTTCCCGGTGTGGTATATTTCATTTGTTGAACCATACCCATGAATAAACTCCACTTTGACATGGTGTATGAGCTTTTGTATTATTGTTAAATTTGGTTTGCTTAGTTTCAGTGAGAGACAGTCAGACAGAAAGACAGACAAAGACCTGTCTGCTTTGATATGATAGTAATATTCCTTTCGTAATAGGTGCTTGAGTAAGAGCCGTACATCCTCAATTTTTTGGAAGCGCTGAAGAAGGATAGTTTTGCTGCCCTCGCAGTCTGCAAAAAAATTCTTTTAATGGGACTGCTAGGCTTATCTTACCTAAAGTTCTGCTGCCCTGGTTGGCATTAGTGTCAAAGTCTGTGCTTTCATAATGGTTAGACTTAACAAAATGTATCTTGACCTCACTTTTCTTTTCCCACTGTGGGTAGGGATTGGGCCACCCCGGTATGGGCTCAGGACTTAGTCCTGGTTTTATGTTCAGGGATCACTCCTTGTACTTGGAAAACCATATGTGGTGCTGAAGATCAAATCTGATTCCCGTGTGGCACAAATGCCTTGCTGCTAGACTATTCATCCACTCTTCATCTCAATTTTGTGCCTAATGGCAAAAATGGCATAAAGCTAAACATACATTTACTGACTAGGTAGCCTATCTTTCTTCTTGCCCACGTATAGTGCTTAAGATAAACTATATAACACAAAAATGGTAGGGTAGGAGACTAGATATTGTGAACTCTTAGAAGTCTAGAAAATAGTATTGAAAGACTAAGTATTGGATTTTATGAAAGATTAACTTACAGATTTTATTTTGTATTTGTAATGTTTTAAATTGAATGACCAGAATATACGTCAGGTTGCACATTAACTATACTGACCTGGATTCTCAATATGGACTTACCATCTGTGTACCATGCTGGTTATTTTTATACAAATGAGAGTTTAACTTAAAAGTGAAAGTTTTTCAGACATCATAATTGGACTTTTTAATGTTAAAGGAAGTACCAGTAGTGCCTTCACCTTGCTCTTTAACTTAAACTCTTTGTCAATTGAATTTATTAAAGTTTAATGCATTAAATTGAATATTTTATTGCCATGCTGCATATTGGTTGTTTACCATATAAACTTTGCCATCACCATGACTTTCAGAGAGTAATTATTTTGATTAAGTTAGACGATTAGGGGAAGTCTTGCATGAGCGAGAATACACTTGGGCAGCAGTGATGAATGGACTAAAGTCTTTAGAGTGTTTCCTTCTGCCAGCATTCTCCAGTCAAATGGAAAATCACGATAGTCTGATTTGGGTGCTAGAGAAAGGATTATCAGACTTAAGTGTTTTCCTCAAAAAAGATAGAAAGAAATCTAGAAGGATAGACTAGAATATGAATTTCCACATGAGTTACTGTGTAATTTCTCTCAGATTCTTTTTTACTTTGATGAACAACATCATTACTGAAATAATAAATGTTCATTAATATCTGCGTCATTTTTGGTAAATGGTAGTTTAGTGTTACAATTAGACTAATTAGCATATAGCGTAGCTTAGTGACATGACAAATCATAGAGCAGAGCATGTTGACTCTTATTCATTATGATTTATTACCTAATTCCCTTGCTCAGTAATGACAAAAATAAAGACAAGGCATTGGGCAGTCACTACAGTAACAACTCCAAAGCTATTGTGACTGTATTAGCAGGTTCTTTTCTAAGTTTATGAATACTCTGGGACCTTGACATTTCACATTTCACTTCTTTTACTATTGGTAAATGTTTTTTGACAAAATTTTTATAATAACACCATGGAAAAAAGAAGGACTATGAGACTAAAGTAAGACTTGCAAATTTTTCTGTTAGTACTAGGTATGTCATGCTTAGTGTTTGAATTTTCCAAGATTTTTCACGATAAAGTTGACAGCTGTCTGTACCTTACATTTATTTTTCAGAACCTATGCGAACCCCCAAGACTTTAAAGATTGCTGAAATACAAGCCAGGCGCATTGCTGTGGACTGGGAATCTTTGGGTTACAACATCACTCGTTGCCACACTTTTAATGTTACTATCTGCTACCATTACTTCCGTGGTCACAATGAAAGCAAGGCAGACTGTCTCGACATGGACCCCAAAGCCCCACAGCATGTTGTGAACCATCTGCCACCTTATACGAATGTCAGCCTTAAGATGATCCTGACTAATCCAGAGGGCAGAAAAGAGAGTGAAGAGACGATTATTCAAACTGATGAAGATGGTATGCTCATGCTTCATTACTTTTAAAACGTAGCAATTTTAAAGTTCAGTTAAGTACTAAAAATTATATGCGTTTTAAATGATTTTCTCCAGTACCAGGTATTAAATTGACATCTGAGATTGAAAAAATTCCATGCTGATGTTGGCTATAGAAAGAGTTATCCTCAAAGTGCTTAATATTGTTCGCAAAAATACCCCAGTTCTAGGTGAAAAGTCTTTATTTTCTATTTATACATGTTAGAGAAATAGTAAGTATGCTTAAAGCTCTTATCAGTTGAATAAAAAGTTTTTTGAAAATTTTAATAAAGATCTTTCCTTCCTTCCTCCTTCCCTCTCTTCCTTCTTTCCTTCCTTCCTTCTTTCCTTCCTTCCTTCCTTCCTTCCTTCCTTCCTTCCTTCCTTCCTTCCTTCCTTCCCTCCTAACTTCCTTCCTTTCTCCCTCACTCCCTACTTCTTAAATATTGGGTACTAGGAAAGCAAATGCCCTGCCTGATGTACTATCTCGCTATCCATGATCACAATCTTTTATCAGAATTATCATGAGAAATCAAATGAAACAGTTTTAATTTTTATTCTATTTTATTAACCATGAAAGGTTCCTTTCTATTTTCCTTGACATTAAAAAATTTAAAGGGACATTTATTCTCTGTTTAATTTTGTTTTAAGTGGTGTCATGTACCTCTAAATATAAAATAATTCCACTGTTCATATCTTCACATCTGAAGGTCTTTTGCAGGTTTCAGCACATCATCACCCTCAGACATACAATTGAGTGGATTTACATTCCTGGTAATAGGACTGTGTTTTGCCTAATTTCTATATGTTTTTTCTGAATTATCATATACTAGGAACATATTTATATTATAACAGCATATACTTCTATAGCATTATAGTTTTATATAAATATGAATAAAAGGCTTTTCTGAATTCTATGATGTTTCACATTTCTGTATTCAAAAAGTCTGCAAATTATAATAAATTCTAATAAGGAAATGCATTCTTTTGATGAAAAAAACATTTCATTTTCAGATTTTCTTTTTATGAATGAAAGCCTGTAGGGTAAAATAGATGAGCTAATCTATTGAATTAAGGCAAAGCTGAATTGGGAGTCAGGAATCTCAGTTAAATCTGAGCTGTAAACCCTGCCACTAATAACTCTAATCCTAGGAAAACCTTTTCTAGTTCTCTAATTCTCTCCAATTTCTCTTGAAAACTTTAAAGTCGATAATCTCTAAGATTCTAATTCCTCCTAAAATTCTCCTTTAGCAGAAGCTTTAGTTCAGTGGTAATCCCTGACACGGCAAAAATAAGTAAATAAAATAATGAATAGAGAAAAGTTTTCCTGAAGACACTGTTAGCATAACTAAAATATTATATGGGTTTCAGAAAACAAGTATCAGTGTGTAAATTTCTCTCAAGTTCTGAACTTTGAACACAAATATAGCCAGATATACTAAACTGAGGATTAGGTATATGCCTCACATACAGCCAATTTCTGTTCCTTCAGTCTTACATACAAATGGTCCTCCAAGAACTGCCAGGAGTTATCCCTAAGCAGTAGAAATTGTGGCACCAAAAGAAAAAAAGTAAAAATTCAGATAATCTGTTTTGATGCTTATAATATAATTTACATAAAACTGGTTTAATATGCCAAAAGTTCTTGAAATTATCTTTATTACATCAAGATCTCTCAGTTGGAAAATTGATGACCCTCGTTTTATACATTTTTTGATAGAATAAGTGATGGCTCTTTAATATCATTTTGTTGAGACTTGAGAGAAACAAAACTATGCTGCACTGAAATACATGAAGTCATTCATTTTTAAATTTGAAAGACTAAACCTCAGACTATTTCATAGTAAATATTTTTTGTCATGTTTGAGGTATCACCTATTATGTTTAAACTTCACTTAATTGAAGTTTTAAGTTTTAAGTTTTTTATTATTAATACACCATGATTTTAAAAAGTTTTTATAATAAATTTTCAGACACAACAGTATTCTATCACCCATCCCACCACAAGTGTCAACTTCCTTCCATGCCAGTTTCCCTCCCACCACTCAGCCTGCTTCATTGACGCGCAGGTTTTTGGATTTTGTGGTTCTTACAGTGTTATTGGCTCTGTAGTTAAGACATACACCTACACCATACTTGTATACCAGCTTCATAAACAAGACCCCTGCCCCTCTGCCTTCACCTCTTTCCTCTTCTCTTTTCTAGTACATAAACATACAAACCCTCATTTTCAACCCCTATCTACTTAACCTTACACAAACCACATACCTTACATACATCTATGGCTAAGAATGTTTAGCATACTGTTTCATAGGTGAGTGACAGAATAAGAAATCTTTACATAGATTTGAAACTTTAAAATCTCACTTAAGGGGCTGGAGCGATAGCACAGCGGGTAGGGCATTTGCCTTGCACGCAGCCAACATGGCCGATACAAGTTCGATTCCCAGCATCCCATATGGTCCCCCGAGCACCTCCAGGAGTGATTCCTGAGTGCACGAGCCAGGAGTAACCCCTGAGCATTGCCGGGTGTGACCCAAAGAAAAACAAAAAATCTCACTATATAAAGTAAAATAGAAATTAAAATATTTGTATTGCTCTAGATTTTAGCACAGCGGGTAGGGCGTCTGCCTTGCACGCAGCCAACATGGCCAACCCGAGTTCGATTCCTCCGCCCCTCTCGGAGAGCCCGGCAAGCTACCGAGAGTATTCGATATGCCAGACACAGTAACAACAAAGTCTCCAATGGAGACGTTACTGGGCCCGCTCGAGCAAATCGATGATCAACGGGAGGGCCTTTACTTTGGGGCTGGAGCGATAGCACAGCGGGTAGGACGTCTGCCTTGCTCGCAGCCAACATTGCCGACCCGAGTTCGATTTCTCCGCCCCTCTCGGAGAGCCCGGCAAGCTACCGAGAGTATTCGATATGCCAAACACAGTAACAACAAAGTCTCCAATGGAGACGTTACTGGGCCCGCTTGAGCAAATCGACGATCAACGGGAGGGCCTTTACTTTACTTTACTTTACTTTACTTTACTTTACTTTACGGGATACACAAAGTTGTCCATGATTGAGTTTCAGTCATACACTGTTCTTACACCCATCCCTTCACCAGTATACATTTCCCACATATATGTGGTAGTTGGTGTGTGTGTGTATGTATACATATATGTGCATGTATATATGTGTGTATATATCTCCTTTTCATATTGCATTAAATCATTTTTTTAATATTTCACACTGTAGCACTGTCTTCCCGTTATTCATCGAATTTCTCAAGCAGGCCCAGTAATGTCTCCATTGTGAGACTTGTTGTCACTGTGTTTGGCATATCGAATACGTCATGGGGAGCTTGCCAGCTTTGCCATGGGAGTGAGATTCTCTGGGTAACTTGCTGGGCTCTCCGAGAGGGGCGGAGGAATCAAACCTGGCTCGGCCAGGCCACAAGGCAAATGCCCTACCACTATGCTATTGCTCCAGCCAGTATTTGGCTTGCTCATGGCTGATATTGCAGACCCAGGTTCGATTCCTCTGTCCCTCTCGGAGAGCCTGGCAAGCTACCGAGAGTATCTTGCCCATTCAGCAAAGCCTGGCAAGCTACGCATGACGTATTCACTATGCCAAAGACAGTAGACGTTACTGGTGCCCGCTTGAGCAAATCGATGGACAATGGAAGGACAGTGCTACAGCCAGTGCTAATATTTCACAGTATGCATATCACTTGATTAAAAGTAACTCTGGGCCAGAGAGATAGCACAGTGGGTAGGATGCTTGTCATGCACATGATTAGCCTGGGTTCAATTTCTGGCATCTCATATGATTCTCTCCCCCCACTCCCCCACCACCGATCCCCAAGCACCACCAGGATTATTTCTTGAGTTCAGAGCCAGGAATAACCATTGAGCATTGCCAGTTGTACCTCCCGAGCCTCCAAAAATACAGAACTTAATTGCCATGATATTTTGAAATTTGTCCTAAATATATCAAAATGGATTAGGACTCCTATTTTATAGAAAGAGTCTTATAAAGTGTTATTATTTGTTTTAATCTTGAAACTTTCCTGTACCATTTTATTTTAATCTGCTTTAAAGAGGTTTTTTATTATTACTATTAGTAGTACCATTATCGGTTTCAAAAATAGTATTAAATTACACATCATTTCATAGTGTGATCACAGTAAGGTACAATTTGTATTTTCTCTTTATTTTATGTACAAAATTAAATGAAGTACAAATTTCCTGTGAACTATTTGCATTTATCTATCTTTTAAGTCTACTGCAAGTTGGAGTATCTGCACACAGAATACTTGATGTGTCTTACACTCCCTAAGGATGTTTGGGCGGTTGGGGGGGGCGGGCGGCTGGAGCTGGTATGCAGAATACCCGAATCATAATCCGTTGTTGGAAAGATCAATGGATTATTATGGTATAATTAAGTCAGTTTTGCTAAATTATTGCTGCCTATATACATGGAAGAAAGAATAAATTATCAACCATCTAATAAGAGAATATAGTTTCATGAAATCTGGGAACATCCATAAATCATGAGAGCAAAGCTAGAATGATTTCCCACCAGAACCCTAAGGTAGAATTTATATTTAATTTATTGCATATATTTTTTAGTGCATGGGTAGAATTTTTTTGTATGAGATTTTGTTTTCATTTTTTAGTCCAGCATTCATAAAAATCAATATTATGACGTTAGCTTGGCAGAAAAGCCTGGTTTGGGGATATTTTGAGGGGGTTGAATAGAGTCATTTTTAAATATACATTTATTATATTTTAAAGGCTATAGTGTTTACTCAGCATTATCTTGCCCCACCCACATTTCATTTTTCTACTCTTTTCCATCTTGAGGGTGATATTTTAAAGGATTTAAAGTTTAAAAAAAATGCTGAACCAGCTCTCATATAAATCACAAGTAGAGGAATAAAAGTCAGCATTCTGTCTCCATTCAAAGTTGTTGATGTGGAAATGTGAAGCTACATTCCTTGTAATATAAAAACTGCTAGACTGGTGGTACTAGTAACTCCATTCTGTATTTATACAAACAATTATGATACAATAATAAATACATACAAATGCTGTCTGCTTATAGACAGACACTATATTCCTTAAGATTAAGGATGTTATTGAGTAGAGTTAGTCTGTTTCTATACCCTCAAAATACCTAATTTTCTATATATTTTATGGTTCAACTATTTGTAGCTCTTCCTCGTAGAAATCATTAATATGCTTCTCTCTTGTCCACTTTATTCTCACAAATTTTCCATCTTACAACTGTATCCTATAGGTAGTTGAATCCTAGTGACAAAGTACATCATATGAATGGATAGTAGAGAGATATTCACATCCTTGGGAGACAAGGACCGTTTTCAAACCAGGGCCCTGTAGACTGTCCTTATTTGGGAACTAATTGGCATACTTCCAATATTATGTAGTATTTGTTGAAATTTTATTTGGTAAACACAGGAAATAATTATGACTATCAAATAAACACATATTCAGTAATCTGATTGGGGTTTCTTCACCTACCCCAGCTCCTCTTTCTGAAAGATATATGGAGATGTAAAGAAATAGTTTTTTTTTTTTTAGAATAATCATTACACTATGTCATTTAAGTAGAGGGAGTAGGAAAACCCATGGTGACATCAGTAGATGCCACAGATGCCATATTGATGCATTGTGGATTCTCAGTCTTTGCCAACAACATAGTCTTTGCTAGTATTGTAGACCTGAGGATTGGGGGCTCGGGGGCATGGACATGAATGTTTTTAGTTAACTTCTCTCTCAGCCCTCAATTGACAGGTACATGAACATATTTCCTGAAGTTTAGTGCTGCCATATTTCCTGTTTACTGTGGGTTTCTTGAGGAATTTATTATTAATGTGCCAAAATTTTCTGGCTGTCCCAGGGGTCATGTAACCATTCATCTTCTCCTTGTATTTGAAATAAATCTTACTCTTTCAACATGTTCAGAATTTCTTGGTGCTGCCACCACGATGCAATTCATATCCTTTGATCCAGTGATTTTTAATTTATTTTGAACTGCACAAAATTGCTGTATACTCTAAAAATACATTTCTAGATAATGTCATGTGTGAAGTTCACTGAAACGTTAGATTAAGAAAAAACATTAATTAAAACTATACTTCTCCAATATTGGAGAAGGTATTTTCAAAAGAAGCACATTTTAAGCAAAGTAGCTTGGATAAGATATTTTTCAACTTTATCAGGACAGTAAATTGAGTGTATTTGTGAATAAATGGCAACTGTTTCAAATTAAATGTCTAGAATCAAAATACACGTTAGCCAAAGTATTTATCTCTGATGTTTTATCAGCAGAACCTGACACATTATTCATTGCTGTCATTGGATAGTATTGCTTAGATGACATTTGTAAATAAGGGCTGGAATAAAGGCTTTTTGTATCTTGTCATATCTGGGGACACTTCAAAACTAATTATGCTGATTATTGAGGTGTAAACAGGTCTGATTCTTATAAAATGATTTGATCTATAGCTTTAAAAAAGTGAATTTTATTTGAGTCTGAAGCAATGATACTTGAACTTATTCAATTTTAGTGGGAATTAGGGCTTCTCAAACAGTGTGCAAGAGGTCTGGAAACCTCACTGGCAATTTTTGGACAACCAGGGATTGTTGAATGGTGGTTTGGTACAAGAACCCAAGAATAAAATGTCCTTCAGTCCTGAAAAACTTGGGAATACACAGTTCACCCTGGTATTATTGAGGGTAAACCTTTTCATCTCCATTTTTTTCGGTTGTAATAATCAGAGCTGTCTCTTAAATCATACAAATTTAATAAGTATATCTATGAAAGTCACATTGACTTTTTTTTCCACATTGACTATTAATGGGCATTTTGGTTCAGTACAGAACTGTTTGATTTGGATTTTTAGTGTGAATTACTGTTTAATTCATTATTTTATGAACTTTATGGAAACTCTTTAGGGACTTATAATCTTCAAACAATCTTTCAGGGATATACAGCTTCGTTCTTGAAACAAATTACAAATGAGATTTTTTCATGTTATTAGAGTTATACCACAGAGGAAACTAGACTACAAAATTTATTCAAGTCTCTAAAGTGATAGAGTATTCTTTAAGTAAATGCAACTTTGCATTTTATATTCTCTACATAAAGGTTTTGTCAGCTGACTTTAAATTTTCATGTCCTTGCGGCCGGAAAGAAAGTATGGTGGGTAGGGCACTTTCCACAAGACCAACTCAGGTTCAGTTTCCGTCATCCTATACAGTCCCCTGAGCACAACCAGGAGTGATTTCGGAGTGCAGAGCCAGAAATAATTCCTTAGTATAGGAAGATCTAGCCCATTTTTTTAAATGAAAAAAAAACTGTACAAAGTAAATTTTCATATTATAAAATCATAAGTTTGTCAAAGAACTTACCTGATTTTGAGGGGCACATTTTAATTTATGTTCTGGCGGGGGTAGTTTAAGATGTCTTTCTAGCTACCTTACCTGTTTCTAATATAAATATTCTTATAACCACAAATTTTTGTAGTGCCTGGACCTGTACCAGTCAATTCTCTTCAAGGAACATCCTTTGAAAATAAAATTTTCTTGAATTGGAAAGAACCATTGGAGCCAAATGGAATTATTACACAATATGAGGTATGGGAAAATAAGGAATTCAGTTGAAATGTGCATTCAAAGTAGAGTTAAAAAAAAGTTAGAGGGAAATAAGAGGGGGAAAAGTGAAGATTAAAAGATCGAAACCATTAATGTTTTAATTTGCAAAATCCTTGATCTCAAGAATGAATTTTAAAACAGATTTTATAAGTGGATTCTTCTCATTCTTAAGATAAACAGTGTTTTGTTTTTGTTTTATCTGTTTTGATAAGGATTGGCCTTATCAAGTAGATTCCATGATAGTTTTAATGAATACTTTTTAAAAATAAAATTAAGAAACTGACTTCATACTTTAGGGCAGGCCACTGAATATCAGTTATTTCAAAATAAAGTCTCTCAAAAAATTTATCATTGTAAATTTGACTTTCAAAGCTTAATTTCAACATTAAATAAATTATTTTATTTTTAAATATTAGATGAAAGAAAAAGATCAGTTATTGAACAGATGTGTACTTCTAGTCTACGTTGTCAGTGCCGATTAAAGCATAAAGTACTTAAATTTTTAGTTCCTAAGAATGCATCATGGGATTAGGAATCACTAATTGAGTCTTACAGTTTGTAACTGCATTATAAAACTCGGAATATCATTTACATAAAACTTATTATATATCTTGAAAAGCCATAAAATAGCAGTGAAAATATTTATTTATTGAACACTTTCTGTGTTATTAAGTTCACTTAAATTTTGTATGTATGTGTGTTACATTTAAATAATGATAATCCCTGGATGTAAAAAAATAAATGTATATGGATCTTGTTGGATCTATATAGGTATATCTGCAAATAACTACATAGATATATGCAAAATTACCCATTCAACTAAGTATGTACAAATGCATACACAAGTAATTGCTATAGAATGACAATAAAAGACCTTATCAGAATAAAAAAGAAAAAATCTGCAGAGATGCCTTTGAATACTTATTTATTTAAGGGGGGTTTATGTAGATTTTATTATAGTGTATATTGGATATGTAACAGGAATATACTTTCAACAGGTCAGCTACAGCAGTATAAGATCATTTGATCCTGCAGTTCCAGTGGCTGGACCACCACAAACTGTATCAAACTTATGGAACAGTACACATCATGTCTTTATGCATCTCCATCCTGGAACCACCTACCAGTTTTTTATCAGAGCCAGCACCGTCAAAGGCTTCGGGCCAGCCACAGCCATAAATGTGACCACTAATATCTCAGGTATGCAAAGGATTTTAAAGTCAACAGCATTCATTGTAATAGCATCCTAGAGAATCACATGCACACCAAGTATTGTTCATCTTGCTCATTGAGTCGTTAGTATAATTCTTCATTATTGAGGGTACTTCAGAGAATTGTCTTGAATACAGATTAATATCAGCAAATACATATAAATCTCAGTTATACTTTTAATTGAGAGTAGTCTTTTAATTTTTCTTTCTGGTTTTAATTATTTTTATTAGGATAATTACATTTTTTTAAAATGTCATTTAGCGATAGCACAGCGGGTAGGGCATTTGCCTTGCACGTGGCCAACCCGGGTTCAATTCCTTCGTCCCTCTCCAAGAGCCTGGCAATCTACCACCCACACGGCAAAGCCTGGGAAGCTCCCCATGATGTATTCGATATGCCAGAAACAGTTTCACAATGGAGACATTACTGATGCCCACTCGAGCAAATCGATGAACAGCAAGAGGACAGTGCTACAGTGCTATTAAATATTCTTTCAACAATAATTTTTTTAATTAAAGGTTTAAAATTGTTCTACTAAAAATGAACTGGTAATTTTTAGACAGCTATTTTTTCCACTTTAGTTGATAAAATCCTTTTTTATGAGAATACTAAGATAACTCAAGTTTCATGCAAAGGAATTGTGACCTATTGGATTAGCAGATTTTATCATGGAATGATTTTAAGTTTTCTATTATATTAAAATATTTTAGCCGAAGAGAAGGACAACATGGAGGGCGGGATCCACAGATCCCGAAGGAAAAAAAAAAAAAACAGGTTCCAAAAAGAGCCGAGATCATCGGGAAATCCCAGATGGGGTAGGTACCGCATCCCACCTCCCCCAGATGGAACCCCGGTGACCAGAAACGCGGCCGCGCGACATCTCTCTATATACAAAGTGATCCATGGGAAGTAAACCACCTAACGTTTCTCTCTGAAAATCATAGCTAAGCTTTGAGCACGGCCACAGCCCCAGAAACACAAGTACTTAATGCATAACCCAGCAGCTTGGAGCAGAAAAGTGAACGGGTTATGTGTTAACCCAGGCCATCAAGTCTGCCAGAGGGGAAAGGGTGTTGGTCCCTTCCGCCCTCCCCCCTCTGGAAAGAAAGGTGGCGGCCACATGGGAGCCTTGTGGACAGCAGGTATGAGCTGGGGGTGTGGGGGCGACTAAAACCTCATGGGAAGGGGGGCGTTCCGGTCCGTCCTTCACGCCCTACCGAGGCCACCAGTTGACCCCCACGAGTGGCTCTCCAGCACGGCCACAGCCTCAGAAACACAAGGATTTAATGCAGAACCCAACAGCTTGGAGCAGAAAAGTGAACGGACTATGCGTTAATCCAGGCCATGAAATCTGCTGGAGGGGAAAGGGTGTTGCCCCATTCGCCCTCTCCTCTCTGGAAAGAAAGATGGCGGCCACATGGGAGCCTTGTGGACAGCAGGCATGAGCCGGGGGAGTGGGGGCGACTAAAACCTCATGGGAAGGGGGGCGTTCCGGTCCGTCCTTCACACCCTACCGAGGCCACCAGTTGCCCCCCACGAGCGGCTCTCCAGCACGGCCACAGCCCCAGAAGCACAAGGACTTAATGCAGAACCCAGCAGCTTGGAGCAGAAAAGTGAAAGGACTATGCGTTAATCCAGGCCATCAAGTCTGCCAGAGGGGAAAGGGTGTTGCCCCATTCGCCCTCTCTTCTCTGGAAAGAAAGATGGCGGCCGCATGGGAGCCTTGTGGACAGCAGGTATGAGCCGGGGGTGTGGGGGCGACTAAAACCTCATGGGAAGGGGGGCGTTCCGGTCCGTCCTTCACGCCCTACCGAGGTCACCAGTTGCCCCCCATGAACGGCTCTCCAGCACGGCCACAGCCCCAGAAGCTCAAGGACTTAATGCAGAACCCAGCAGCTTGGAGCAGAAAAGTGAAAGGACTATACGTTAATCCAGGCCATCATGTCTGCCCGGAGGGGAAAGGGTGTTGGTCCCTTCCGCCCTCCTCCCTCTGGAAAGAAAGGTGGCGGCCACATGGGAGCCTTGTGGACAGCAGGTATGAGCCGGGGGTGTGGGGGCGACTAAAACCTCACGGGAAGGGGGGCGTTCCGGTCCGTCCTTCACGCCCTACCGAGGTCACCAGTTGCCCCCCGCGATTGGCTTTCCAGCACGGCCACAGCCCCAGAAGCACAGGGACTTAATGCAGAACCCGGCAGCTTGGAGCAGAAAAGTGAAAGGACTATGCGTTAATCCAGGCCATCATGTCTGTCCGGAGGGGAAAGGGTGTTGCCCCAGTCGCCTTCTCCTCTCTGGAAAGAAAGATGGCGGCCGCATGGGAGCCTTGTGGACAGCAGGTATGAGCCGGGGGAGTGGGGGGGCGACTAAAACCTCATGGGAAGGGGGCGTTTCGGTCCGCCCTTCACGCCCTACCGAGGCCACCAGTTGCCCCCCACGAGCGGCTCTCCAGCACGGCCACGACTCCAGAGCACAGAAACCAATTTCTTAACTATCTGACTTTCAGTATAAATACTTCCAGGGTCAATAAGTAAAATAGCAGAAATCCAAAACCAACATTTAATTCTTGAACCCAGCTGTAGAAAGCAAATCACGTCACAATGCTTTTTCAGCATGTCTGATTTGGGGGGGGGGGGGGGTAAACTCTAAATAATAGTGGTGAATCTTTTATTGAAACAATGAATCTAATCAAAGCAGATAGAGTGTTAACTAGAATTCATCTGCCCCACAGGGAGTGGGAGGGGTGGGGGGTGGGGTTTTATTGGGGTTCTTCATGGTAAAAAAAAAAGTATTGGTAAAGGGAAATGTGTTTGATATTTGCATGACTGAGACCTAAACCTGAAAGCTTTGTAACCTTTCCCAAGGTGATTCAATAAATAAAAAAAAATATATAAAAAAAAAAAAATATTTAAAATAAAACTTAGATGTTAAAAAATTCAGAATAGACATGGCAGAAATGTTTAATGATGAACAATACTACTCTTATACAATATGAGTAAAGGTAAAATAAACTTACAAATTAATCAGTCTGTATGTTAACATATTGCTGGATGATTCAGTAGTATTTATTTTCATAATATAACAGTATGAAATTTTAGTTATATGTATGACATACATTTATCTTAATAATCATAAATATTTAAGATAAAAAAACTACAAGGTAGTATAAACTTGGGAGATATTACATTGTTAACTTCTAGCAAAAATTTAATCAAGTTTAACTGATTGTCTTGCTGACAGAGAAATACATCTGTGAACAATCTTCTCAAATACAAACTGAAATTATATCATGACATGACAATGCATTCTACTTGTTCACCAAACTGAAATTATTCCATGCATTTCTATTCTCTTTGTTTCTCTTTTCCTGGAAGTGTTAGAAACTGAATTCAGAATTTCACACATGTGAGGGATGTGCTTTTGTTGTTTGAGACATGCTTCTGGCATACATCACTCGTCTAAAATTTACTAAGTTTAGAACGTTTTTGTGACAAAGTGAAAAAATCCATATTTGTTTGAATTTATCATAATACCAGAGGAAATGGGACAGAGAGACAAAGCATGGGATCTATTAAAGCAGCAGACCAAGGATCTTGATTATCTGCCATTGTTTTGATAAAAATCTATTTATACTTAAGCTCTGATAAAAGAACTCCCAAATGCTCAAAAGTAAAATAGCTATTTAAGTAAAATAGCTATTTTAGTAAACATATTCAACATTACTGTAGCACTGTAGCACTCCCGCCCAGGATATATAATAAATTACTAGAAAATTCTATTTGGTGATACCATGGTATAGTAATATAGATTTCCCATTACTAATATTCTCAGTGCCTTCTAGAAATCATTTTGGATATGCTTTGAGAGAATAAAGTCCTTCAGAACTTATTTCTACAAATTTTTGTGAAGTTTGTAACACTGAGAGCATTGAGCAAATGGATTTTAGTGAGTCGTGATTTCTTATTGACCACCTACTTTGATCATTTAACATTTTCTTTACCATAATTTTTGATATTAAGACTCTCACTCTTGAATAATGTGAATTCTTATTTTTAGCTCAGTAAATTCCAAAGACCATGTTTCTTTTATCTTTACATTTACAGCATTTCTCATAAAATTGAACACATTTTTGCATATTAGTAAATGTTCAGTGAGTGAATAAAATGCAAATGTATTAGAATCCATTTATTTCTGTTATTCTGTTAATGCACATATCCCACTGGTTATTAAATCAATTAAATATAATTTTTAAGTAGAAGTCATTTAAAACCATTTGAAGTTTAGGGGATTTTGTTGCAAGATTATAAAATAAATACTTAGATTATTTGTAATTTTCTTCCTTTTAAGAGTTTGGCAATGAATGTAGTATTTTGTACTACATAAAAACTAAGATTTTCAGTCATCTTCACCACAATCCCTTATCGTTCTATTGTGACCACCATCATAAAATAATCTTGATGCTGTTGCTCCACTGATATTAGAGCCTAAACAGTGCCCTCTAACTATGCAGTACTTTATCTCAGTTCCTTTAGATGCTTTTTCCTCAGCACCATAAGCACTCTTCAGAACATCTAACTCTGTTCCTCACATCTCATCATTGCTTATTTTCAAGGACTCAAAATTAAAGGCTCAAGCATTTTCCCCAAATGTCTGGTCTGTGTTTCCCAAGTTCACAGATTATTATTTAAATGTCAGCAATATACTTGGCTTCATCTCTTTTGCTGCTTTAGGCGTTTAGATTAACAGAGTTTGTTAATCCACAAAATAGGGTCTATGGTAGCACTGTAGCACTGTCCATCCGTTGTTCATCGATTTTCTCAAGCAGGCACCAGTAACATCTCCATTGTAAGACTTGTTTTACTGTTTTTAGCATATAAAATACATCACGAGGAGCTTGCCAGGTTTTGCCGTGCGATGAGATACTCTCTGTAGCTTGCTGGGCTCTCCGAGAGGGGCGAAGTCGTGTGCAAAGCAAAAGCCCTACCCACTATGCTATCACTCCGGTCGAGGTTCTAATGGTAGATAATTAAATAATAAATTTATTATAATTTAATAAGTCCCTTAGATTAATTTTTTTCTCACACTAAACAAAATATATTTTCACTAACTGAATCTTTTCCTCTTTCATCTCTTACCAGCTCCAACTTTACCTGACTATGAAGGAGTTGATGCCTCTCTCAATGAAACTGCAACCACAATAACTGTATTATTAAGACCAGCACAGGCCAAAGGTGCCCCTATCAGGTAAGGAGGAGGGAAAAATAGTAGTTAAAGGAAAACAGTAGTAGGAGAGATTTTTCTCACAGTTGCTTAGCATGCAGTGAAAATGCCTATTTTTAATAAACGTTCACTTGACTATTACTGTTGTGAAGTCTTTGATTTTGTTTTCTTTTGTTTTTGTTTGCCCTTTCTTTGGACAGCACCTGACTCTATACTTGTAGTTCAGGGTAAAACTCTTGAGAGCTTGGGGTCTTTTTGTTGTAGTTCAGATATTTATGAAAATGAACAGCTCACCTCTCTGTGCTATTTGTTTCCATTTTTGTTTCTTTTTTGTTTCTGGTGTATGACTCCCTAATTTTAAATGATATTGGAAAAAGAGTTTTTTTCTTTTTATTTCGCTTTTTCTTTTGGTTCTACCTTATGAGCTTTGAAAGTATTTTTCAGAAATAGAATGAGAAAAGTATTTCCTATCTAATGCATTAAATCTCTTATGAATAATTTCATACAAATGATTGAAAAGCAAAAGCTCTGAGAAAATAAAAGGAATATAGTTGGAAGAATTGTAGCTCATGTGACCTAATAATTCCAAAAGTACTGTTTATCTGAATGGAGTTCTATAGTAAATATTAGAGTTAAAGTACTAAAATTAAACATTAAGTTTGCTGCTTCTTTATCTTTCCAAAATTAAAATGTCCTATGTTATCCTCATCTTGCAGAAAATTTATGAGCCATATTATTTCAGGAATTGAATCTCATTACTCAGTGATTTTAATCTTTGTGCATTTGTAATTAGGTAAATGTTCAAAATTCAAGCAAGTTTTTATAAACTTTTTAATACTTTTGTTTTAACTCTTTTTTTAATAAATGAGGGCATACAAATGGGTACAATATTTCTTGAGTGATCTCAAATTATTTATGAAAACAAGTAAGTACAATATTGTCTTTTTATGGTAAATACCCATATTTAAATTAAGGAACAGATATATTAGTCTTTCAAATATACTTATATCACTGGACAGAAAATATTTTTCTTTGTTATAAATTCAACATCAATTAAAAGAGCAAAAACCACACAGGAAACTCTTTTTCCTATATCATGTAAAATTAGGGAGTCATACACCAGTGGAAAAGTGAGATGACAAAATACAATTGCATTACAAACACTTTCAAAGTAACTTGGATATGCAAAGTAAGAATATAGTGCTAATCATGATTGGTACGCAAGTCTTAATGCTGATCTAAAGAAAAAAGTAAAAATACCTGCTTTCAGCATCATTTTCTATTGACAAGTAATCAAGATCATTCACAAGTTCCTACCAAAGATAAGATTTGCTTTGTAAAAATTCAACTGTCTCTGATATTTCAATTAACTGGCAGATACCTGCATCTACCTTCTAAGCATTAGATAGTGAACACATTCAGCTTCATTTAATGTAAGATGCAAACAGTGATATTTTTACTGTATAATTGTGCTGCAAAATATGTAACTTATGACTGAATTGTCATTCTTTAATCAAATTATTATCTAAATATAACTAACCATATGTTAAGTGTCAGAAGCTATGCTAGCATTGTAAATCAAAATTTTAACAATCAAGATAAAGCATAGAGCTTGTGCCAGAATTTGTCATGAATGATCATAGATGCTTATACCTTTGAAAACTCATTGTTTAATAACTAATTTTAAGGAAACTTTGTAAAGTTAGTGAATATTTACTAATAGCACAGTTTTTTATTAGTGAATCACCATGAGGTACGTACAAACATTCCTACTTGCATTTCAGTCATACAATAATAGAGTATCCGTCCCTCCAACAAGTGCCCATTCTCCACCACCAATAATCCCAGTATCCCTCCCACCCCCCCCCCCACCCCATCCCCTTCCTCTCCACTCCGCCTCTGTGGCAGGTCATTCCCTTTTGTCCCCTCTTTCCTTTTGGGTGTTGTAGTTTGCAATAGAGGCATTGAGTGGCCATTATGTTCGATCTATAGTCTACATTTATCATGCATCTTTCAACCAGAGCGGGTCCTCCAAACACTCTATACTTGGTGTTCCCTTCTCTATCTGAACAGCCTTTCCCCCCAATATTTGAGGCCAGCTTTCAAGCCATGGAGTAAACCTCCTGGTTCTTGTCTCTACTATTTTTGGGTGTTAATTTCCCATTCTGTTACTGTATATTCCATAGATGAGTGCAATCTTTCTATGTCTGTCTCTTTCTTTCTGACTCATTTCACTTAATATGATACTTTTCATGTTGATCCATATATATATGCAAACTTCATGACTTCATCTTTTCTAACAGCTGCATAGTATTCCATTCTGTAGATGTACCAGAGTTTCTTTAACCAGTCATCTGTTCTAGGGCACTCAGGCTTTTTCCAGATTTTGGCTATTGTAAACAGCACAGCAATGAACATACAAGTGCAGATGTCATTTCTATCATGCTCTTTTACCTCTCTGGGATATATTCCTAGAAGTGGTATTGCTGGCTCAAATGGGAGCTCAATTTCTAATTTTTTGAGAATCATCCATACTTTTTTCCAAAAGGGCTGAACCAGTCAGCATTTCTACCAGCAGTGAAGGAGAGTCTCTTTCTCCCCACATCCGTGCCAACACCAATTGCTTTTGTTCTTTTGGTGGTGGGCCAGTGCGATGATATCTCTTTGTTGTTTTGATCTGCATCTCCCTGATGATTAGTGATGACGAGCATTGTTTCATGTGCCTTTTGACCATTAGGATATCTTCTTCGAGAAATTTTCTGTGTATTTCATCACCCCATTTGCCAATGGGTTGGATGTATTCTTTTTGTCGAGTTCAGCCAGTGCCTTGTATATCCTGGTAATCAACCCTTTATCCAATAGGTAAGGTAAAGGTAAAGGTAGTAAATATCCTTTCCCATTCTGTAGACTGTATTTTGGTCACTGTTTCATTTGAATTGCAGAAGCTTCTTAGTTTAAGATAGTCCCATGTGCTAATCTCTGTTTCCACTTGCTTGACCAGTGGCATGTCCTCTTTGAAGATACCTTTAGCTTCAGTGTTGTGGAGGGTTTTGCCAACCTTGTCTTCAGTGTACCTTGTGGACTCTGGTCTGACATTGAGGTCTTTAATCCATTTTGATCTGATTTTTGTACATGGTGTTAGGTAAAGATCTGTGCCCATTTTTTTGCATGTAGCTGCCCAGGTTTGCGAACACCATTTGTTAAAGAGACTTTCCTTGCTCTACTTCACATTTCTTGCTCCCTTATCAAAGATTAAATGATCATATATTTGAGGGTGTGTGTCAGGATATTCAACCCTATTCCATTGGTCTGCAGTTCTGCCTTTGTTCCAGTACCATGCTGTTTTAATTATTACCACTTTGTAATATAATTTAAGGTTGGAGAAGGTGATGCCTCCCATCTTTTTCCCAAGGATTGCTTTAGCTAACAGCACAGTTTTTAACTGCATTTTATAAATTATTTATATTTACTTACCTCAAAATTTCAAATTACTAAGAATTCACATAGTCTGAATTAATGTTTTTGCAGAGGTGATTCTTCTTAACTATTTATTCTCTTCCTGTAGCCCAGAAATGCACCTGTGTATGTGCTGGAAAAAAATTATTTTCCTTTTCTGAAATTAGGCCAGGAGAACCTTGAGTATTGTCTTAGACTCAGATTTGTTGTTTTGTTTTGTTGGTTGAGAGTTACCTAGCAATGCTATATTATCTGTAGTGCTGAGAATCAAAGCTGGCCTTCTGCAGTCAGAGCATGGACTCTGGCTCATTGCATTGGTTTTTCAATCCTCTAATCAGATAGCTCTTCCTCTTTCCAGATTATTAATTTCAGTGTTGCTGCTGATACTTATGTAGTGCTCTAATATTTTGGAAACTGACTACCTTACTTGATTCAATCAGTTTTCACAGTACTGTAGTTATGGTGTAGTTCAACAAATATTTGATTGTATTCCCATCTCTGCATTCAAGATTTTTTAACTATTGACTTTACCCTCAATTCATTTTATATATGTGTATCATGTGTATCAGAATAATCAGAATAAAAGCCATGTTTATTCACCTGATAGCTAAATCTCTGAGATCATACATCAGTTTTCTGCTATCAGAAACCCAAGCTCCTAGCATCTTTCCTTATTTTATAACAATGCTGGCTTCTATTTTTTGTATTCCCTTTCATCAGCCGCTTGTCCCAACTGTTTTGGAAATACTTTCCGCTGCCCTTGTTCTCCCAAAGTCAAACAGAATTTTTTGTCATAGCATCTGGGCAATTATCTTATATAGATTTTATACATTTAGTTTGTTGGTTTTGTAGTATTCAAATGCCAAGCTGCTCTCCTGGATACTTGAATTGAAAATTCACAGAAGCTGAATCAGTATGGCCAGAAGTGGAGGTGGTAGGCATAAATCTCTGAGTGATAATGCAGTATAATAAAAGAAATGAAATACGTTAGTTAGAACATGTGGTACAGGAGCTGAATTTTGAAAGAGAGGTCTGAATGAATTTACTCAGTAATCACTCTAATGAGACCAAGATTGTTGGGAATAGAGGCACAGAATTCAGTAAGATTGTTTTCCAATTTTTTGCAAAGGAAGTACATAGATTATTTACATAGTGGGGTAGATTCTTGAACTACAAATAATCCAAGTCATTGAGAGTAAAGGGAATATGGAAAAAGTGATGAGAGCTGAGACTGATAAAATAAGTAGGAGCCAGAGAGAGAGAGTCTGGTCAATGCCAGCTTACTGAAGGTAGCCATTGAACCATAAGTGAAAATCATAAAGAATTTGTCGATTTAAATTAGCTATTTAAATTTTGTAAAAGGATCACTCTGGTAGAAATGGGTTGGAGACAGTACAAGCTTAAAGACAGAATGGTCACAGTGATAAGCGCCATTTGACAACATCAAAATGGAAGCAGTAACAATTCATGTGAGATGTTTCTATTATTCAAGATTTTTTAACTGTTGATAGCTATAAAACTAAGGGAAAAAAATGAAGTGGAGATGATGAAATTAATATTTGCTTATA